CATTGTGTATTCTATTTCAGATTGATTCATTCGTCAAGTGTACATTGTACATAAAGACAAAAACTCCACATTATATACGCATTATTGATTGACAACAGCTGCAAGATCCTAAACCTGAACTTCAAAATCATGATTTGTATATGGTACGGAGTCATCTTTGATCACTTAATAAAAGAGCAGCTTAAATAGTTCGAGTATAAAAATATAATGAGAGCGATGGAATCTCATGTCATTTAGATCTGAATATTGCTAAATGAAAAGTTTTGGAGTAGGGACATGTAGCAAACAATAATTAATCGGTACATTGTGCCGCTCAGTTGACTATTTTTTTTAACAACAGTAATTTTGTAGAGTATTGTTGTTCTCATTATAAATGTGTTTATAGATTTGCGGCTTCAAGTAAACAGACAACATAAATGAATCCAATATATAAATGTCCAGCATGTATTTGGACAGTGAACCGTCCTATTCGACTAAAATGTGGTCATCATCAATGTTACCTTTGCGGTAGATCTGCAAAAAACGAGTATGATTTCATTACAAAATAAATCTTTTCAATATCGATCGCTTTCTTTTGATACAGGGCATCAATATGTGCCACTTGTCGCAAGGCAACACCTGGTGAAGAAGTAAGAAGAATTCACTGTATACATGTTTGACTATGTATATTTTTTTAGATAGTAATCGATGAATCTCGTATTCAAGAAATAAATGAGTTGCCAACAAATTGTTCGCTATGTACTTGGTGAGGTTCATATGGCCATTATAAAGTAAGATTATCTTCAAGTTCATTATCGAATATTGAGTATTCAGGATTATGCATTTTTTACGGGCTGTTAGTTAGAACATCATCGATTTCCTTCACATTCTTAAATTCAGATTGATATCAGAATGAAAATACTTTAAAACATTACGATCCATGAGACTAAAATTAATATAATCTGAGAGGTGTTGATTCAAACTTTACAAAATAAAATTAGGGATAATATAAATCATAATAAAAAAACACATGTAGTACATATCAGAGTGTTGTTGGATGGAGCATGATCGTCGTATTGAATTTAATTTGTGAGATATGTTTAGGAACACCTAGAAATCACTCATCTCTCAAAAAAATGCGACGCATGTTCTACAATCTGTATAACAGAGGCACAAACAATACAACATCAGCAAAAAGAATGCCCAGCAATTCTTGTCAAATGTCCACTACATAGCTATGGGTGTAAACAATTGGTATGCTGGCTAAACTAAAAATACTTAATTTTTTTTTTGACAATTTTTTGCAGTTTCCTCCGAACGAAACCGAAGCTCATAATATCAGTGATGTTCATCTTGATAGTTTGAGATATGCATGGAATTGCCACATGGATGCTATGAAAACTGCTCTAGAAGACATGAAAAGCAATTATCATGACAATGTAACGTCAGTTTCTTCAACGAACGATGAGAAACTTGAAAAAATTTCTTTAAATATTCAAATATTAACTGCACTCATATGTGAACTAAATTCATTGAACTCGAAAAGTCATTGGTCTCATGATTATGACCAACATATGTCAATTGATAATGGTAAAGATCTTCATTTATTTTTGTATAATAGCATGATACCAATAGCAACAGTTGAATTTCTTCCTTTAAAAATGTCATCGAGAATGGAGAGATATTTTTTTCTATAGAACACAAAAAACAAGTTTCAATTGTATATCCCATCATTTCATATCAGTGCATTGAATCATTCGATTATATTTGATGGCTAAATTTATTGCGTTGGGTTCTTCGTAGAAAAATTAAGTATGCGCATCAAAAGTTCATCTTGCTATTAGAGACTTTTTTGTTATGCATATATTATTGATTTAGTTCCAGTAGAACTTATTGAAGTGCAAACTGTTTTGAAATCAGTTCAAGGAGCCAAATAAGAAAAATCTTAGAAAGAAAAAGTTGATCTAAATCCTTGATAGAACTATTAAAATATTCGTATGTCACATCTCTTATCTTACTTTGTCTAGCTATTGCTAATGATGTTCATTTTTCACAACATGAAAATCCTATTATGAACTTGAATCAGAATAACTTCGACAGTCTACCATCACTCTTGCAGCAGTCTTTCTCACAACGACCTTAAAATAGATGAGCTCAATGCTCACATGACACACCTCTCTGTAAACCAACCAACGGATGATTTAAATGATGCTATACAACGCGAAGAGATACCATTAACCAGCGAGAGAACACCAGAAAATCGTGAACTAAGTATCATGCAGTATTGGTGAACAAAAACTAATGTCTTATTTTCGACTGTAAATCTAAGAATCCTAATAAATGATTTTTTAAATAAAGAGTCGAATGGGTGTAATGCAAGAACAATATCAAATAATGAAGCAGAAAATCGATTATTTAACATTGAACAATAATCTACTCAACACTCAATTGATGGAACAGCCTGCTGCGACTGATGGTCTTTTGATATGACTGATTTCGTACATTCGCAAAAGAATCGACAATGCACTATGTTTGAAAGATCCCTTTGTGAAATCGCCGATGTTTTTCACGGTAATGAACGGACGTCGAGTGCGGGCTTATCTTTATCTCAATGGCAAGTCTAGTACTAGATACAGATCAAGTTGCTATATTTCCATCTATATTCGACTTCTCAATCCAATTTATCAAAACTTAAAGGGTACTATTACGTTTTGTATAGTCGATCAAAGCAACAATCATCCTCTAGATCATATTAAACGAACATGCTCAGTAGATACAATGATGCCAGATGAACTGATTGGTTTCGATGATTTCATGCCTAAAAATTGTCTTTATCAGGAACCAAGTCAATATATTCGTGACGACGAAATATGGATCATTGTAAAATTTAATCAAAAAAATACAGAACTTTTTTCCAATCTTCCATCACGCGTACAACACGCACTAGCAAACATAAGATAAACATCCAATCGTAAAAAACTGTTCATCGACCTAACTTTCATATATTTGATTTTTTTTATTCTATTTTTCGATTTATCTAGACACTAAATCCACACTTAGTCCCTTTTTAAGCCATGAAATCATTTTAAGGAAAAAAGTAGATCACTTTGTAATGAAGTATGTATCTATCAAAGTATGATAGAAGAAGAACGAAAGTAAAAATCCTGAACTTAAAAAAGAAATCATTTTCATCTTTACAATCTATTCTATCGATAAAAAATCTATTGAGTAAAGAAAAAGAACAGAAATATTCATAACATACATCTAGATAAAATATTTCTAAAGGTAGGATGATGATGATGATGATATATGTAGTCTCCATCCACATTTCATTCTTTATCATGATTAAAAAACAAATATTTTTCTAATTGGAGACACACATACGTTGAATATTTCTTTTTCTAAATTCAATTTTCTGTGAAACTATTGGAATAAGTCAAAATAATCGATGCATTGCATTTTCGAATCGTCAAGCACATGCACTCCATTGAGTCTAATTAAAATGGCAGCTGTTTTTATTCTGCCAGAAACATATTCACTCTTATTGAGTAGGTCTAAATGGTTCTTTTACAAGCTGTACAAAATCGATCAGCGAAGCGATCGTATCGATATCTTTACTCAAGCATGTATAACAATAAATTGAGTAAATTGGATTCTCTTAGAAAAGTCATTTTTCAGCGTAATTCTTATGGGATAAAAATGCGAACATGATCGATTCGCTCCCATCTTTCAAGAGAGCCCTAGTCACATAGATCATTCTGAAACATCGAAACTGAATCGATTCTGTCCGTCATGCATTGTGACGCTAAAAAACTCTTGTCCATTTTGTCTGTTTGACGCGAATCAGTGAGGCAAGTCTGAGACGGTGAAGGGAAGGAAAGGGAAATTCAGTTTTCTCTAATAGTACTTTGTGAATCACGATTGTCAATGACACAAGCGAAACGCAAACTTACGGCTAATTGTTGTTATTTACTGCAAGCAAATATGTTATCAGTATTTGAATTTTGAATCAGGTCATATACTACATTCTCGAAATGATTCATGGCTTATGTTACCCTTACACATTTTCATTATTCCGATATTGTTTTGTGATTCTTTCTCATTTTATATTCTGTCCTTCTTGTGTTTCTATCATTTAATTATATATGCGAATGTTGAGTTCATCTTCATGGATATATAAGTTATTCATTACTTCGGAGATAAAAATTCTTTTTAACAAGTTCATAACTAGTTTTGAGACAATAAATCTTCTGAAAACACACTTTTTCACTGTTTTTTATGGACAATTCGACTATCGAGGAAGTCACGATAAGGACAAAGAATCAAGAGAGAAAGGTGGATGTGAACTGTAACTTTTCGCGAGTTATGGAAAACTCATATAGGAGTTTTTTCAATAATATCTTACAACTTAGAACTGAAACATTTAACATACAATAGGTAACAAGACATGTATCTTTGTATAAATTGGAAACCCAACAACAATAGTGTAGAGAATTAATAGAAAAAAATATGCTTACTTTACTTTTGGTCACAAGGATAATTATATTGCTTTTTATAACTCATGAAAATTAACAGGTTTTTTTTAAATCAAAGTTAACGATGATACTTCAAAGCAGTGTTTGTCAATATTTTTATTATGAATATGATTCATAAACACTCCTTTATCAATGATCAAAGATTCAGCTCATTTGATCAAAATACGACAGAAATCTTCGATTTTTTTTCTTCTATAAAATGATGTTTTTTTGGATCTCTCTGTATATATCGAGTACGGAAAAAACCGAGTGTCGTCATTTACAGCAAAAAAAAAGTAGGAATGCAAAATATTGTCAACAACATAGAGTGACACAGAAGTAATGAACGAGGGTCTTTTGGAAAGATGTGGATGTAGGTTTAAAGAATGAGAAACCCATACTCATACCAACACTCACCCACCGATCCACACGCATGCCCCTATAAATCAACAAAATACTATATAGTAGACAACAGAATATCAATTATTTCTACTCATAAATATGTTTCTATATGAGTATATTGTGTGACGAAGTCAGTTTCGCAGAATTCCGCTTTGTATTTTCCATAAAAGCGACTGTTACACCTGTCCATTCAGAGTTTGTATTATGCCGAACACCAATCAATTTGTTTCTGCTTAAACGTGTTAAAGTTGTAGTCAATGTTGGTCTTTTATCACCATCAGGCCAAAGATACATAAGACGAATTTCTCCTATAACAACATCATCAGTAATTTGTAAAACAGGTTCATATTTAACTTTTTGTTGTAATATCCAATTTTCTGGATCTTTTATTTTTTCAATATCATCATGCGTAATATCAATAATGACACCGCGGCCTCCAAACGAAAATAATGGCTTTAATACATAATTTTCTAGATCATCTGGAATAGTGTTGATAATTTCATTCAAGAAATATGTTATTGGTATATAATCACCTTTTAAATATGTTAAAAGAAACTTGCTTATGCGATAAAACCAATGAGGATGTGTTATCCATTCAATGTCCAATTCTTGTCTTATATCAACAATATGTTTGAAAATATCTGGATCATTATTTATTTCATCAAAAACAAGACGATTATAAATTCTTTTTATTAATTTCTTTTCACCTTGATGCTCATAGAATAATTTGTTACCTTCTTGTTTCAAATCGTCTAATGATATAATTGGAATATTTAAATATTTTTGTGTAAGATAAAAATCAGTGGCTGTAATTTGCTGATATGGATTTACATCCATTAGAATAACTTCATGAGGATGATGAGGTCCAACTATAGTTTGTTTAAATAAGCTAAGAAAGCGAGTTTTATCTAATTCATTAAAATAGTTGGTATAATTGGTAGGAATGTCAAAAGTTACACAATAGGCATCACCCAAATCAGCTTGTAAAGCATATGTGGATGGAAATCCTTGTAACTCAATTAATTTGGGTACAGTATCGCCATATTGGTCTCTACAAATTCCAAAATCTAGTTGAATAAAGTGTGGATGATCATTTTCATTCGCACAATGCCATTTATCAGGAATTGATTTTTCTGTTATCTGTTTAAAATCTGGACGTAATATAAAATCAATAATATGATTACTAGCATCAATAAGTCTATCACGAAACTCATCATTGAGAAACAATGGGAATTCAGCTATACGAAAGCCAATCGGATTTGGCAATTCAGTATTTAAATTTTTGAGCAAATTTTGATATTTTTCTTCGATGGAAATATAATTAAACATTTTTCTAATATTTTATTTTTCCATATCGACATTAAACAATCATTATAACTGCCTATAAGTAATCGTACAATGTATAATTGTTAAATAGAGTGAAGCCACATTTTATTTCTGTTCAAGAAAAAATGAAATTCTTCTAATACGTATCTCATGGAGTGGAGTGTGTAAATATACTGTTTTTATTTTGTTATTATCGTTTTTGCGTACGTCATATATAAGCATGCTCTGTTTTTTCTTTATTTGGCCTATTTTAGCCTTCATATTGACGTTATTATCGACGTTTCGCTTCATCTGACTCATAGTCATACTTTTTATTATCCTACACCATCAAGTTTATTTTTCTATTCTATGTCATCGGCTTGTCCGGCTAACGGCCAACCGAAGTGATTAAAGTAGAAGTTGAACTTTTAAAAAAATTAGTTATACTATTTTGTAGAGCACACTTTTCTGTCTCAGAATATATAGTTTGAATTCTGTTATCTCCTTAAAGGAAGAAAAAATTATTCGCCATAAGTTGACGACATCTTGGTTTAAATTTATGTCATCTTTATGTCGTTACAGAGAGGAAGAAAAAAAAAGTTAAAGAAATAACTGTCAACTAAAGTTTGACATATGCTTCGAATCTACGAAATTCGGGCTGTTCGTTGATATCAATAATAGCTCCTATGTCTTTTACGAAAAAAAATAGAAAACTCCTAAAAACCTGATAAATTCTTGGGTGAGTTCGTTACCAAACAGGGCCTATAGTTAATTTTTCATCATAACTGCTTGATTAAATTGACCGTAGCGTACACATCTTTGCTAACTTTTCATAGGCTACCTAGGGGCTGTATCAGTTGCGATTTATCTCTGTTCGTTGAAAAAAAAATAGTAACGCACTCACAGAGTATATTTTTCCTATACGTCTCATTTCAGACTTTCATAATAAATTAAGTCATATTTTGACATCATAAACTGGTCTTAAACATTTATTGTGTTAATAAAAATATAATGACTTTTACAAATGCACAAAAGTAAAAGCGCTATCGTGAAAATTTGAAAGCCAAAGGCTTATATCAAGCAATGAAAGCGACAAATACTGTACGAATGAGAATATATCGTCAAAATCTAACTGGTAAAAGGAAACAAGATTACGATAAAAAACATGCAGAGTCACAAAGAGCTTATCGTAATAAAAACAAACAGTCCAAGTATGTAATATACTATTTGATAATGCTTCACGAAAATTTTCCTCCTCTTTAGAAATTCTTTCTCATCAAAACAGTCTTTCGGAAAGGCATTCAAAAAATCAAAATGTGCTCTTCCAAAAGACTTCAATAAAAAAAAAGTAATCATTCGAACTCTAGCTCAAACGGTTGGTATTGTGCCTCAAGATGATCACCAACGTACTACTCGAAAGTTATCATCAAAAATAAAAAATAGTCTAATTTTATTTTATGGTCGAGATGATATTTCATATCAAATGTCTGGAAAACGTGATACTATTGTCACCAATGATAATGGAAACAAAACAACATGCCAAAAAAGAATTCTTCTTTATACTATTCGAGAAGCATACAAATTTTTTCTTGCTGAGAATCCAGGTAAATTGTTTTTCTATAGATTGTTAATCCTTCAATTTTATTTAAGGTATTTCTGTGGACCGAACGGTTTTTGCTGAAATACGTCCTAAACATATTTCAGTGAAATCGTCCATAGCACATCGTGTATACGTTTGCATATATCATGAAAACGTGAATTTACTATTAAATAGTTTATCTAAACATGTCAATGGATCATTTTGTTCAGATTTATATTCATTTACATCGGCTCTTGTTTGTGATGAGTCAAATTATGATTGTATGTAATCTAACTGTTTTATTTGTGAAAATTATTTCGATTTAAATATTAAAAAATAATGTTATTGATAGAAATGTTCAAATTAAGTGGTACCAATGGAAGCATATTAATGGTTATGCCACAAAAGAAGAGCAACAAGAATCAGTTGAACAATGCATTGAATTATTATCTTCCAAAGTGAAGACATTTTTATTACATGTTTACATTAAACGTCAGCAAAGTAAATTTTTTGAATAGTCAAAGGCCAAAACCAAAAATAAAAAGATTGTTATTCAAGTTGATTATAGTGAAAATTTCGAAATAAAACAACAAGATGAAATTCAATCTGCTTATTGAAGATCCAAGTCGGTCTCCATCTTTACAGCTCATGCTTGGTGTGGTGCAGATAATTATGCATTTGCATTAGTATCAAATAATATCAGTCATGATAAATATTGTGTTTACAATTGTATTACTTATATCATTAACAAATTGCAAAAACAATTACCATCATTAGAAGAAATTCTGTTCTTTAGTGACGGCGCTGCCAGCCAATTTAAACAACGATACCTGATACGTAATTTGACACGAATGTCATATGAGTATCGATTGATTCTTTCGTGGCACTTTTTTGCTACCAGCCATGCCAAAGGCGTGGTTGATGGCATCGGTGGCAGTGTTAAAAGACTTGTTTGACAACAAATATTAACCAAAAAAGATAAATGTGAAAATGCAACTGATTTTGTTAATATTGCAAAAACAAAAACTAAGACTATCATTATTGATCAGTGTGGGAGTTAAAACTAGCCGAGTTATAACTCGAGTTATAACTTTTGAGTTATAACCGATCAACTTTTTGGTCAAAAAGTTAATTCAGTTATAACTATCAACCATGGTTATAACTTTCAACCATAGTTATATCCTTCAACCCGAGTTATAACCTTCAACCCGGGTTATAACCTTCAACCCGGGTTATAACCTTCAACCCGGGTTATAACCTTCAACCCGAGTTATAACCTTCAACCCGAGTTATAACTTTCAACCGTAGTTATAACTATTAACTGTAGTTATAACTTTCAACTTCATTAACTTTTTTAATCTTTTGAGCAGAATTAATTAAATTGAAATGGTAATTACCTTGATTTATTGACATCTTTGATAGAATAGATAGAAATATATATATTTGCAATGTTCTTTAATGCAGAAAAGCAATGTTTTATAAATTCTTATTCAGTACTTTTAATGTATTCATCTACAAGCTACATTTTCTTCTATCTATACATCGACCCGGAACATACTCGTAAATAAATATATTTTTCGTTATATGATTAATTATAATCTTAAGTTGTGAACAGCTGAGAATACTATTTAAAAAAAGAAACAACTCTATTTTTAATTTTAATTCTTTAACATAGTGGTAATAATCTACAATACATGTTGTGACGAAACTAAGATAATAGTCTCTGTCAAGATAATTACATACGTTTTATTTCAATTCGAAGTCATTGTATCAGCTTATTTTCTGTTCACTTTTACACAATCATTACTACTTATATGAGTATGTATCGTATTCTACTTTTTCCTTCTTTTTCCACGTCTATATATAATTGAACGAAGAAGAGAAATGGAAGAATAAGAAAATCAATATGACAAGAGCACAAGGAGATAGGTGATTGAAAGAAAAGAAAATACAATCATTATATTCTTTATCTCAAACATAAGGTGAAACGGTTGTAAAATTATTCAGGAAAAAGAAATGAATGATGTCATGTTGACGTTTGCGGAAGCATATCTTATTTATGGACCTCCGTTTGACCAGTAGTTTTAATTAGTTCAAAGTTACGAGCAGTGCTAAGAGTTATGTTGATTAGTGACTATATTGAGACTGACTATATTTAATAGAATTTTTAACTATAACTATGGTTGATAGTCATAACTACGGTTGGAAGTCGTAGCAATCGCAACTTCTTACTAGTTTTACTTTATTGTTCAAGTTTCAAAGACACATTTATATTTCGAAACTACATATGCTTGACTACTATATTTTCAGTGAAAACGGTTGTAATTCCAAGCTTTGTTAGCAGCTGTCAGCATAGAAAAGAATCCTTAATGTTACTTCACAAAGAATAATTGTCTCATTCAGGCTCGATGTATAGATAGAAGAAAATGTAGCTTGTAGATGAATACATTAAAATTACTGAATAAGAATTTATAAAGCATTGCTTTTCTGAATTAAAGAACATTGCAAATATATGTATTTCGTGTCTTCTTGATTGCGGACGAAAATCAAACCAATTAGCATGCCGACAGTGTGGGTGAGGGCTGAAATTTTGTCCGCAATTAAGAAGTAGCCATGTATTTCTATCTATTCTATCAAAGATGTCAATAAATCAAGGTAATTACCATTTCAATTTAATTAATTCTGCTCAAAAGATTAAGAAAGTTAATGAAGTTGAAAGTTATAACTACAGTTAATAGTTATAACTATGGTTGAAAGTTATAACTGTAGTTATAACTGCGGTTATAACTACAGTTGATAGTTATAACTACGGTTGAAGGTTATAACTCGGGTTGAAGGTTATAACCCGGGTTGAAGGTTATAACTCGGGTTGAAGGTTATAACTATGGTTGAAAGTTATAACCATGGTTGAAAGTTATAACTCGAGTTATAACCATTTTAACTTTTTCCGATTTTCTCAACTTTTAACTTTTTCAAAAAACAGTTTTAACTCCCACACTGTTATTGATGAAATAACACAAAAAGATATTGATAAATCCACAACTCAATTACAAGCATTTTTTTCGAATACACTATCTGTCAAATTTCCAAACTAATTTTTCATATAGAGAGCCCTAACTGTCCTCTACAAATTACAATATAGCTATTGTATTTACAATTCAAGTATTCGCAGCAATTTCACACGTTCTAACAACATCCAAAGAAAGGAGGGCGTTTTTTGTGAGTGGGTTATCGGCATGTATTTTTAGTATAAAAACGAAACTGTGAAGTCGATTAGCATGAAACTTATACATGTTAAAGTGTTTCATAACATACATATATTCTCAAAGTTTCAAGGCTCTAAGCTTTGTTGTTGCTAAAAAAATCGGGTCGAAAGTTGACAACACGTCAGTGCGTTACCTACGGATAAGCCGTCATACAAGTTTATTTTCAAAGTTCTTCACAT